GTTTAGTCGTTGAGAAAGTGGAATTGACTCGAGAAAATTCAAGAGCGATGATTTATTATGGCTTTCGAAGTGGTTTAACACAAAAACAGTGTGTTGACTGGATGATTTCTGCATTTGGTGATGAAGCCCCATCCAAAACCACAATTTATCGCTGGTTTGCTGAATTTCAACGTGGACATGTCAAGCTCAGTGATGATCAACGTCAAGGTCGTCTAAAAACTGCAGTCACCCAAGAAAACGTTGATGCTGTGCGTAAGCTTATATAGAATATGCTTGTGTCATTTGGTCTCCCTGCTACACAGTGCATTCGGATAGTATAGAAAGCGTCCAAAAAAAGAACCCTTAAAATACTTTGCTACAAATGTGGTCTTGGTCGCCGTCTTGTCGGTTATAGTGAGAGACTCGACAAATTTAAAATGACCTCTTTACTTATTCGCTGTAAGCAATGTGACCTTATATATTTACATAAAATTCTCCATAATGAGATTGATTCCGGTTACCTCTTAAGTAAATTAAACTTAAATACAAAGCGCAATCCTCGAATTCTTTTTTTTTCTGGTTTTATTTAGAGATTTTTGTTCGTTAACATGTCAATCCCATTAAAGCTAACTTAAAATCTATACATATGTTATTAATCTGCACATACTTAATGCAATATTCGAGGTGGGGGCATGTAGGATGCCCTGAGCAACACCTATATTGTACAGATTTATATTATATGTTCTTACAAATAATTCCCTTGCCCCTCTGTTGCGCTCACATTCCATTAAAAAATGATGTATGTCTTCAATTACTCCACAAATTTCACAGTTAGGTGAATCAGCTCTTTTCATCAAGTAAGAAAATTTTTTTGATGGAATGTGACCTGCTCTTAATCTAAATATTAATTTAATAGTATTTCTGTTTAATTTTGTATCTATAAACCAAGGTATTCGAGGCGGTTCACTCTGAATCGTTTTATACCAAATACCTTTCGTTTTAGAACGTTCATTGAAAAATTCTTTCCATTTATTATAACATGAATTTTTTAATTTTGGTAATACTTCTGAGTAGCAAGGATCAATATAATACTCTACACCATTTATGCAAGCAGAATTCGCTAATCTATCCGCCTCCTCGTTACTCAATAAACCAATGTGTGCTGGAATCCATTGCACCCTTACACCGATGATGCGTAGACTGAACTGATTTATTTGCGAAAGTATGTCATAGGCTATCGAAACACCTCTGATTCCAGAGGCGGATCGAGTCAAATGTTGGATAGCAGTTTTGCTGTCCGAGTATATGATAATTTTGTTCCAGTTATAGCTTGCGGCATATCTTAGGGCTTCGGATATTGCAATGAGTTCAAGGCTCTAATACAAACGTATTTGTAACTTTATACGATCTAGAAACTACTTGAGATGGGTTAAGAAAAGCTGACCCTTGCAACTTAGCACTTTTGATCCGTCTGTGTAGATTTTATGCCAATCGTGATATTTATTGTCAAGTTCTTTGATAATATTGACTTTAAGAGAATTTATTTCATAGAATTTTTTGGATTGTGTAACAGACTCTAATTCACTTAATATTATATTTTCAATATCAATGCGAGACAGCCAAGTGTTAAGCGAAAATGATTCGAGAAAAGGAGATGAATGTATTTTCATAAATTTAATTTTATTGTAAGATTTAACTAAGAGTGGGATTTTCTTGCGTTGCCAATATCTTGTTTCACAGAGACTGCTAAGTTGCTTCAACAAATCAATTGCAACATTATTCGAAAAAGAGCTGGCTTTTAAAACATATTTATAAGCTAGATATAATCTTCTAATATACAATGGAGGTATACTAAGTTCGCTTTCCATTACATGTATTGGAGAGCTTTTGATAAAACCACCAATAACCCTTAACGATTTATTTTGTATATTATCTAATTTTGATAAGTGAACATTAGCACAATTATCAAATAAAAAACTACCGTAATCGATTCTACTTCTTATTAACGAAATATACAGCTGACGAATATGTTTAGGATGAACTCCCCACGATGACCCAGACAGTACCATTAGTATATTTAAAAACTTATTACATTTTTCTGTAATCTCATTAATGTGTTTGTTCCAGAGTAGGTTACTATCTAGCCACAACCCCAAGTATTTAAAGCAATTTAAGGAAGTTAGTGAGCGTTCGTTAACTGTTAACTTAGGCAGGACTCGTCTACGTCCTCGACTAAACAGGCATAACTTTGTTTTTTCAGTTAACAGCTGTAAACCTAGATCGTTTAATATTTCTACTATACAATATAACGCGTTTTTGATCTTTGACTCACAAATTTTTAAATCTTTGTCTTTTATATAAATAACAAAGTCATCAGCATATTGAATAATATTTACGTTGTGTTGTGATATTAAATGGCAGACTCTATAAGTCGCTATATTGAATAGGAAAGGAGATATTGGGTCTCCTTGTGCTAATCCTTTATTTGTGCTTCTTTTAAGTACTTTATATTCAATTTGAGATTTTACCCGTAAATTTCTTTTACTTAGGAATGACCATAAATATGTACAAAACCTACTACCAACTTGTAGGTTATCTAATATTTTTAAGACACTATTTATATCAACATTATTGTAAGCATTTTCAATATCCAAAAAGCAAGCTAAAGTGGGCATATTTTGTGTAAATCCAATTTGTATAAATGTTACCAAGCGAGAGTGACAGTCTAAGCAAGATTGTGATTTCCTAAATCCAATTGTCGATGGCGAAAATATGCAATTTTTTTCAATGAACCATTCTAGTCGCTTGAGCATCATAATGTGGAAAGTTTTACAAAGACATGACACTAAGGAAATTGGTCTCAGCTTAACATCAGAATTAGATGGGCCACTATTTTTTGGTATAGGTATAACCAGCACATTACGCCATTGACTTGGTATATTTCCAGACCTGAACACAAGGTTATAAAGAATTAAAAGAAATTTTTTGGCGATATCGGGAAGATTATATATCATACTATATGTGATTTCGTCATCTCCGGGAGCGGTATCTTTTTTTTAAGACAACTTTTCAATTCTGCCATTGTAAAATCAGTCTCTAATGAAGGATTTTTAGACGTAAAGTTGGGACATAGGTCGGTAGCAGTATCCGGTGTGAGTGAAAGTAGAAGCTTTTCTTGCTGATCTAATGGAATGAATGATTTTTGTTTACGAATACCCTTCATCCATCGCATGCGCTAACACATGTTTGATATTGAAGTTTCTCCATCTATCGAATCGCAAAAGTTCTGCCAATGTTTACGTCTTGCATCTACTATAAGTTTACTAGCTTCTTTAGTTTTTACTTCTAAGTGAGTCAAATTGTTGGGAGTTGGATTACGTCTAAAATTCAGAAGGGCTAATCTTCTTTGAGCAACTGCTCTAGACAGGGCTGGGTTCCAATAATTTCGGGGTTTAAATTTTGTTGCTGGATCAATGCGTACTTTTATAGTAGGTATACTAGCATCGGCCGCTTTATCAAGTTGAGAAAATAGAAAATTATACATTTCATGAATACATGTTTCATCATATATATCAATATCTAATAAATCATCGCTAAAGGATTCTTTAATTATGTTAGTATATGCTACCCAATAAATTTTCTTAAAATTACGTTTCTGAATGCCATTATAGTAATTTGGGATTTTAGTACTTAATTTAATTAATAGATGATCGCTGCCTAGATTTTCATTGAGCACCTTCCAATCGAAATTTATAGCAATATCATTTGATACAAAAGAAATATCTGGGGAAGTTTCTTGTAAAAACCCATTGACAAGTTCAAATCTTATTGGGATTCCTTTATTAAGAGAAAAATAACCATGTTCTACCGATGCGTCTACTATTCATATCATTCATATCACCCCTCGTGCATTGTTTTTGTACGACCAATTGCTGTGGTACCCATTAAAATCACCTGCTATTAACGATTTTTTTGGGAAGAGGGAAAATAGCTCCTCCCAGTCTGATACCTGAGTTCTAACTGAAGATGGACAATAGATTGATATAATATTTTGTAAGAAATCATAATTGTGCAATTTAACACATACGGTTTCTATGCCTGGGTTAGTTAATCGAATTATACTTACTACGCTTTTAAGTGAGTTGTGTGTAACGATCGCAACTCCACCATAAGAGTCATATCTGTCCCGTCTATAGATATTATAACCTTTAATATTAATATTATCATCGTTATTTAACCATGTTTCACTTAGTATAGCTATGTGTATTTTTTCTTTACCAAAAGCTCCCCAAGATCAATCAATTTTGGTTTCAAACTTTGTGTATTCCACTGTAATATATTAATAGCGATATTTTTGTTATTTTTACTATCCATTATTCATATAATTTAAAACTGTTTCATAAATTTTTTGTCCTGATATTAAACTACTCACAAATGTTTTAATTACTTTAAAAATAGCCATGAAAACCGCAATAACTTTATGCTATAATTCTTTTTCTAGAGTACCAAATAGAATGAATTTTTTAATAAGAGTCCCTTAAAATCAAATGTTTTTTGTCTTATTTCTTCTTCATCTGAAGTACTTTTTTGACTTTCTTCTTCTGCTTCCTTAAACTGCGTATCATTTTCTATTGTATTTATTTTTTCCGTCCTTTTCTTTGCCTTTGTTTTTTCTTCTCCTTTTTATTTGTTTCTATTTTTTTTTTATAGAATAGGGTGACAAACGAGCACACAGTCCACCTGATGGTAAGTGGTTGCTGCGGCCCATAGACATCTACATCTATCTTCCATTACAAATCAAAATGCAGATGCGTTGTCACCCGCGAGGACTGAGATGGAACGCCTCATTTCCAGTAAAAAGGGTCTCCGGTTCTCCACTCACCATACGAAATACAGCAGCATTAAGCTACTATTTCACGCTGGTATTCTGTGAGAGCGTGGTCCTTCCCCGGTCGAGCCGACCCATTCGTGCTACAACTATACTACTAATATAACTGCAGCATGGCTCTACCACGTAATAATTATTGTATTGTTCCTTCATCTGAGGCTAATTCTTGATTATTTTCCTTATGAACTTGAGCGTTAGTAACAACCTGACTATAACTTCGAGCTCCACGGTTTTCCAAAACTTGTGTCGGCTGTTCTGTCATCTCTTGATTGACAAAAGTATCTTTAGAGTGTATATTTAAGTTATTGCTCATTTCTATTTGATTTTTATTTATAATCATCTGAAGAGCTTTTCTATAAGGTATATTTTCCTTACTCATAGTGATACGTATTTCTTTTTCTTTGAGATACATAGGACATCTTTTATCCAAAACGAAATGTAATCCTTTACAATTGAGGCACTTGTATGTTTTTAGATTACAGTTTACGTGTTCCGTACTACCACATTTTGGACATACTTACACATACTTTTACATACTTTAATAATATGTCCGAATTTCCAGCATCCGGTACATTGTGTCACTGGAATAGTGTAGTTTTCCACTTTAAAATTATACTTATATGCCGTGTTTCACTTTCGACCCAATTGCTATTTAAATCAAGTCGTTTAAGTCGCCTTACCGCCAATATTTTGGTATCACTTTTCAAAATATCTAAAATATCTTGTTCTGTAAACTTCAAATCCACACCTCTAATCAATCCATAAGAAACCGTGGTTTCAAAAGTTTTTTGACATTTGTACTCTAACCCTTTTTTACAACTATTTTTCCGCATCATTATTACTTTGAAAGCAAATCAAAACTTTGAAAGGGGACTTATATTTGATTGTTTCAATATTCAAAATATTCACACTCCGTAATAATTTAGCTAACGCCATTTGCTTTGGTAATTCTTTAAATGATGTAACACAAACCTCATATTTAGATCCGATTTCTTTCTATGTTGTCTTTTGTCCCTGTCCTGTTGAAATACTTCTTAAGAGACGTTTCGATCTTCTTTTTTCAACTGTCACATAACCATCTTCGCTGTTTGTATCTTCTTCACATGCTTTTCTCTTCTCCGATCTCACTTCAGGCTTTCGAGATGTGAACCCAGCGTTTGTATGTTCCATTTCAGACTCACGAGTGATTCTTCGATCCTCAATTTGGCTTAGTTCTAATTCACATTTACGTATAATTTCCGAATCACTTTCATCACTTCCATCTATCGATTTATCTTTATCACTATCCATATTTAAAAATTGTGGATAAACTGATAAAAAATCTTTGTATTACGAACTGAGCGGTCTTTGACGTGTGTGTACCAGACGACAGCTCGCGCAAGATTCCTCGAATTCCTAGCAAGAAATTTTACCTGCAGACTTACAAGAATAATACTTCTTTTTACAACCCGATAATAAGAATGTGTCAACTTTACAACGAGATATCCATGAAAGACTCCGGCTTGGATATTTTTGACCTAATATCAAGGATATTCAAAAGAGCAGTAAAAGAGCTTACAGTCACACACTCATTCCCATATCACATAGATTTTAAATTTGTTGTTTGTAAAATTTGTTTCTTTGTATTATGTAGTAATGAACGGCATTAATATTGTTAATACTGTTAAGCGTAGACTTGATCTCCCTTATAGTAAAATATGAAAATGATACATATATTTATGAAAACTGTTACATAAATATATGTATAATTTTTAATGTATTTTGATTGTTATCTGTTTTGTTGTCCATATAATAAATAAATAAATAAGTAAGCTGATTGAGGAAGATCGACATGTGACATACCGCGAAATTTTTTTAAAACTTTATACATTGGTATGAATCAAATACAAATAATCTTGCACGAACAATTCGGTGTAAAAAAGTTGTTTTCCCGATGGATACTGCATTCGCTCTGTGAAGAGCAAAAAGCGGCTCGCGTTACTTGGTGCGTCAGAACTTTTGAAAGATTCCACGCAGAATTCTCAAATGCTGTATACAACATCGTATCAGGTGTCGAATCCTGGATATATGCGTACGAACCCGAAACAAAAAACCAGTCACGAGTTTGGGTGTTTGAAAATGAGTTAATGCCAACAAAAATTGTTCGTTCACGTAGTGTTGCAAAAAAATGGTTGCCACGTTTGTCTCCAAAATCGGCCATGTTACGACTATTCCTCTTGAAGGACAAAGAACGGTTAATGCAGACTGGTATGCTAGCATTTGTTTGCCACAGGTCGTTTCTGAACTCCGTAAAGAGAACTGCAACCGCCGCATCATCTTCCATCACGACAATGCGAGTTCTCAAACCGCACACAGAACAAAAGAGTTTTTAGAGCAAGAAAACATAGAATTATTAGACCATCCGCCGTACAGCCCCGACCTAAGCCCTAATAATTTCTATACTTTCCCTAAAATAAAGAATAAATTGCGTGGACAGAGATTTTCATCACCTGAAGAAGCTGTGGACGCCTAC